GGGGGTTTTGGGAGGGTTTTCAGGGTTTTTTCAGGGTTTTATGGGTTTTTTCAGGATTTGCTGGTACTTTCTGGTTTTTGGGGGAATTTTGTCCGGGGTTTTTGGGGGTTTTTCAGGATTTTTGGGATTTTGGGGTCATTCCCACATTTCCCCGCTCCAGCTGGAGAATCTGATGCTGGACAAGGACGGGCACATCAAAATCACGGATTTTGGGCTCTGCAAGGAGGGGGTGACAGATGGAACCACCATGAGAACTTTCTGTGGGACCCCCGAGTACCTGGCACCCGAGGTACCCTGACCCTAAAACTGCAGGGGACCCCAAAACCCACAGGGACCCCAAATCCTGAGAGAAATCCAAAAAATCCCGAGAGAAATCCCCAAATCCCACAGGGGATCCCAAAACCCACAGGGGACCCCAAATCCCACAGGGGAACCCAAAACCTGAGAAAAATCCCCCAAATCCCAATAGAAATCTCAAAAACTTGAGAGAATTCCCCAAATCCTGAGTTTCCCCAACCCCCCGGGTCCTGTCAGATCACACTCTCATTTCCCCCATTTCCCCCAGGTCCTGGCAGGTCACACCCAGGTTTTTTCCCCCGTTCCCCCCAGGTCCTGTCAGGTCACACTCATTTTTCCCCCAGGTCCTGGCAGATAAAACCCAGGATTTTTCCCCATTTCCCCCTGGGTCCTGTCAAATCACACTCATTTCCCGCAGGTCCTGGAAGATCAAACCCAGGATTTTTCCCCCATTTTTCCCATTTCCCCCATTTCCCCCCAGGTCCTGTCAGGTCACACCCAGGATTTTTCCCCATTTTCCTCATTCCCCCCCAGGTCCTGTCAGATCACACTCACATTTTTTCCCCCTTTCCCCCCAGGTCCAGGCAGATCAAACCCAGGATTTTTTCCCATTTCCCCCATTTCCCCCAGGTCACACTCTCATTTCCCCCAGGTCCTGGAAGATCACACTCTCATTTCCCCCAGGTCCTGTCAGGTCACACCCAGGATTTTTCCCCCATTTTTCCCCATTTCCCCCATTTTCCCCCCAGGTCCTGGAAGATAACGATTACGGCCGCGCCGTGGACTGGTGGGGGTTGGGCGTGGTGATGTACGAGATGCTCTGCGGGCGCCTCCCGTTCTACAACCAGGACCACGAGCGGCTCTTCGAGCTCATCCTGCTCGAGGACCTGCGCTTCCCCCGCTCCCTCAGCCCCGAGGCCCGCGGGCTACTGAGTGGGCTACTGAAAAAAGATCCCAAAGAGAGGTGAGAACTGACCTGAGACACCTGGGGACACACCTGGGACACATCTGGGGACATTGGGGACACAGTGACACACCAACACCTGCGCTTCCCCCGCTCCCTGAGTCCTGAAGCCAGGGGGCTACTGAGTGGGCTACTGAAAAAAGACCCCAAAGAGAGGTGAGGGACAGCTGGGGACACACCTGGGACATTGGGGACACACCTGGGGACATTGGGGACACACCTGGGGACAGCTGGGGACACACCTGGGGACATTGGGGACATTGGGGACACACCAGGGACACAGTGACACACCAACACCTGCGCTTCCCCCGCTCCCTGAGCCCCGAGGCCCGCGGGCTACTGAGTGGGCTACTGAAAAAAGATCCCAAAGAGAGGTGAGGGACACCTGGGGACAGTCCTGGGACACACCTGGG